CGGGAGCCCGATGTGGGACTCGATCCCAGGACCCTGGGATCATGACCTGAGCCGAAGGCAGTCGCTTAACCAACTGAGCCACCCAGGCGCCCCTTAGATGTTAGTTGTTAGCAATCAATCATAATTCAATTTTGTTTACTCAGTCAACTCTTGATAGAACACAGAACGAGGGTTAGAAAGAAGGTCCTGGAATTCTCCCACCCCCATCACTGTCCTATGTTTTTTGTTCTTGTTTTCAAAAAGAAAACTCTTACTAACCCGGGTGCAGATAAATCATGGTTAAATTACATCAGGATTTGGGATACGTTCCCATTTTCATTTTTCATAAAGGACTTGGTAATGAGGGTGTTGACTCCCTGGCTGGTAAGGAGGTAGGGAGAGTCTGCATTTAACCCTGTTGACTCAGGCCCGCCTCATGACTGAGATTACAGCCCTGCCAAACCAGGACTAGGCCTCAGAGCAATTAATCCATGACCAGAAAATCACGAGTTGAGTGTGAAGTCATTAACAACTAGCTTCTCCTTATATACATTACAAAGAGGGGGAAGCAGAAAAGCATAAAGGGTTAAGAACAGGACTTGGCATCAGATAGCCTGATACGGAATCCTTGCCTACTTATTAACTCTAGGGCTTGAGGCAAGTCATTTGACTTATCGGTGTCTCAGTTCCTTCACCTGTGACAAGAGGATATTGTTGACCTCACAGGGTTGTGTGAGGTGAAGTGGGAGCCTGTCAGTGAAGCGAAGTACCACCACCCGGCACAGAATAAAAACTCACTAGTGTGCCCCAGTCCGGCCATCATTGCTGCTAGATTTTTCATTTCTAACTAAAGAGAGAAGGTTAGTCAGCCTGAGGTAGCAAATATCTTGCCTTCACTTGGTTGCAGAAGAACTGAGGTAAAAAGTCTGAAAGCAGAGAAAACAAAAACGTAAAACTAAAATCTGATGCTCTTTGTGGTCATGGATTTAGATAAGTCAGCTGCAGAAGTAGGCTTTAACCTTCATAGCTAAGTCACAGACTATTAACATGAGTCCAAGGTGGTTTGGCCGGAAAAGTCAGAGAACTGCTCTGGCTGGTTTGGGTAAAAGGGATTTGAGGTAAGGACGCACAGAACTGCAGGGAATACAGATGGAGGATGTTCCTGTAAAGTCGCAGGCTCTCAGAGCCACACGCTCCCCTGCGTTGGAGTCTCTCTACACCTTTGTTCCATTCCTCACCTGCTAAGGATTCAGACCAGCTGCCTCCACATGCCCAATGGCGCTCCCCAAATGGAGACCTTCCTCTCGGGATCCACACAACCTCTCTGTTCCAGCTCTGGCCTCCATCCAAGGCCAGGAAGTGGATGAGTCCGGTGTCCATCCCTGGTTTAAGTGGGGACTGAAGGCAGGGTCATGTTGTTTATAGTTGGGATCTTCGTTCTAGCTGTGACTGACTGGTCTCTAAGGAGGGATACATGCATGGGGGAAATGACTGGCACCTCCAATGGGTCCTTAGAAATCACGTAGCCTAATGGCCTCTTTTAGGACCCTACCCTGTGAAGAAAGCAAAGCCACCAAAGGCTGTGACTAAAGCCAGTAATTAAAGTAACTGACTGGTGGCTGGGCTGGCAATAAAATCCGGTTTCTGGTGTCCAGACTACCATGCTTGGTCTCAGCTTGTCAGTCTCCCTGGGCATATGAAGACTCGCCTACCATATCTGGTACAACCAGATTTGCTTTTAAGATGGGCGGTTCTGTCATAGAGCTCATCTTGAAGAACGCGTTATGCCTTTGCTTTCAAAATTGAAGGAATTAAAAACCTGTCAACATAACCTTCAGGATTCCTCCAAAGTTTGTAATTTTCATTATCCAGGAGTAAAACCCCACTTCTAATCAAGATCTGTTCTACGTTATAGATTGCAACAGAAGCAATAGAAAATATTAGGACAGTTGTGTCCTTAACCCAGGAAAGAAAATTTGAATCGATGTATGTTGAAAAATTATATGGAGCTTACAGGTAATAAACATAAATGATTTTTACTAAGAACCCAGTATTTTCCTGAGGCTTAAAAATTGTTCCCAGAAGATAATAAAACTGCTCAAAAAAAAAAAAAAAAAAGCCTGTAAGGATGACATTTTTTCAATAGCTCACTGAGAATAAGTAGCTTTTTGATGCAACTGGGCTATAGGATTGGATTTTTACATCTTTTTTTAATTTAATTTAATTTTATTATGTTACTCACCATACATCATTAGTTTTTGATGCAGTGATCCATGATTCATTGTTTGCATATAACACTCATTGCTCCATGCAGAACGTGCCCTCCTTAATACCCATCACCAGGCTAACCCATCCCCCCACTCCCCTCCCCTCTAAAACCCTCACTCTGTTTCTCAGAGTCCATAGTCTCTCATGGTTTGTCTCCCACACCAATTCCCCCCCTTCATTTTTCCCTTCCTTCTCCTAATGTCCTCCATGCTATTCCTTATGTTCCACAAATAAGTGAAACCATATGATAATTGACTTTCTC